CAGTCAAATAAAAGAAACAAAGGCAGTGACGGCAGTTATGGTGTGGTGTGGCAGCCAAGGCCAAACAGGCCCAAAGGCATCTCATGACATGAGTTAATAGCGGCTGGTCATAGTGGGGGTGAGGTGGGGTGGGGTGGGGGAGGTTGAAGAAGATGGGGCCCACATAAAGACAACCATTTTACCACGTGGCGCAATATGGTGATCCCTTAACACGGGAACGTGCGATGTTATCGTTGGCGTTTAGCTTACGTTGTTCATTGTACAAGTTTCATGGTGTACGTTGTGTCGGATGTTCTTTCCATCTCTGGGTCAGTCCACGAATTGCCATGGCCTCACAGTTTCTTCTTCGACAATTACAATAAGGTCGGCTTCTATATACCTCTTCTGTTGAAATCATTAAAATATATTATTATTTGTTTTAATAATAAAGGAAAAAATAAAAGCTAAATAAATAAATAAAAGAGATACAAACAAAAAGAAGAACAATGTTTTTTGGTGGTGGTGGATAGGAGGATAGGAGGGGAAGGGGAAATTCATTTTAAAGATCTCAACGCTTTTGTTTTGTCCACTCATTCTCACCTACCAAAATTGATTTGCTTTTGATACTCCAGATATTTTAAAAATAAAAAACAAATAAATACAACCCATGCTATTTCTAATTTTATAAGGATAAGGAGGCATTGTATTTCCTGCAAATCATAGTATACATATGCAAAAATAATTTATAAAAAAAATATAAAAGACAAGGATTAGTGATAAAAGCGACAAACTACAGAGATCAAAAGTGACATTTTATCAACAAATATATATATATATATATTGAAACTTTGAACTAATGCTTAAAACTACAATGTCTTACTCATATTATATCTACTTATATATTATTTAAAGTATCACTCATATTATATACACTGCTCTCTCCGATTCAAAGATTTTTTTTTATTTTTTAGTGATACTTCTCTTTTACATTATTTTGTGGTGTACGTGACTTGGGAGGGACCACATGTTGCAGCTGTAAATCCAAAATTTTGAACAGCATTCAATTAACGACTACGAACATCAAACATTCAACACAAAACTTCCGTAAGGAAGCGTTCGTGCCTGACGCGGATAGCAATAGCTATCACCACATTATGTATAGAACAAGAAATTGAAATGGGGCCTTTGATGGGGGATTGCATTGCACGTCCTGTGTGAATGCTGCTGCCACAACTATTTCAATTACTACACATTTAAAATGAGTGTTTCATATTTCTTGAACCTCGTAGCGGAACAAATTATGAAAAACTTAAAGTTTGTAATGAGGGTAAATATGTTTTGTTTGTTAATAGCTGACTAAAGTTTGTTCAAAACAACCCCATTTATATCTAACAAATTTATTAAATTCTTAATCTTATAGGACCTCATGTATAGAGATAAACACTCTTAATCACAATGAATTGTGGTTTCATGACCTAATTAGTGTTGAAGGCACACCCTAATAAGCAGCATGGCTGGTCGGTTTTGAGATCTTCAAGACTTTGTACGAAACTTAAACTGAGACTCTCACATAATTTAATATGAAAATAGTAAAAATAATAATTTTCCATAACTTAATATCATAAAACAATTATTTTTTTATAACTAAAATTCATCATCAACAATGGCACAAATTTTGAGTGGTCTTTATGAATTTAGGAAATAGGATATTCATGTTTTGATGTTGAAATTCCTGAATTTGAAATAAAAACAAAAATTCTCAAAGAATTGAACAAAAAACCAAAGAGAGATCGATGAATGATAATGATGATTAACTTTTTCTTTCCTTTTGATGTTGATTGGAGGTGAAAGCGTGAGGGTATATATAGGGTCAAAACCTATATATACTGATATTATTTCTTTTTATGCAAATGTTTTTACAAAGAAAAAAAAAGTTTTTAAAGAATAAAAATGCACACCCAAGGACTTTATTTCTACTCAAAAGGCCTTAAATGAAGAGAAACGCGCTTGAAACCAAACGAGCCAAACACATGCTTGTCGTGTCAATGTGCTGCACACTAGAATATATAAAATGTTTACAATATTAAGGGTGCATTTTTGCTCACCACCTTAACCCTAGGTGTACCCTCACCACCCCTCCCAAAAGTTGACACATGTCCATGAGTTTAACTATAGTTAATTCTTATTTTTTATTTATTTGATAACATTATTATGAGAGAGAAACAATACTTCAATAAGATTTTTCCTGATTTACCCTTATTAACCTAGCAAACTTTCCACTTTTTTAAAATTAATTAACAACTCCCCAAATAATAATCTATGCTGATCTTCAATTGCAAGCTTCCTCCATTTGTTCAGTGAAAGATAGGTAATAATCTATCCTGCTTTTTTTTTTTTTTTTTATAGTACTTTGTATTGCTTGATTATTTTTTATACTTTGGTGATTGCTCTGCGTTATTTAGTTTTTTTAGTCCATGATGTTGGTATGTCTGGTGGATCAAGACTAGCACAGAAAGGAATGATAGAATGAACCATACTGCAGAGCCAGAGTAATGAGACAATGAAGGGTATTATTGCAGAGCTTGGTTCCTTCATCGTTTTTGGAATTTCTGCAACTCCAATATATTTTGCTCCTATGGAGTAAGCTTTATTTAGAATAATAAAACCAGAATTAATTAGTCCAAAACTTGCAACATCATAATTAACTCATCGGTTGAAGAAAGAAAACAGGTTCAAGGATATTGAGAAATTGCAACGTAATAATATATTGAAGAACAGTGTAACTTTTGGGCGTGTATAAAAAGAGTTAACTAAAGCCAATTGAGATTCAAAGTATCTGGGTGTGTTCTTCAAAGTATTGAAGCCTGTGAATTGATATTCATATTAAAGCACGGGATATAAAGCCAGTTGCCAATTATTTATTTGGGTAGTTGTTAATTAATTTAGAAAGGTGGAAAGTTTGCTAGGTTAATAAGGGTAAATCAGGAAAAATCTTATTGAAGTATTGTTTCTCTCTCATAGTAATGTTATCAAATAAATAAAAAATAAAGAATTAACTATAGTTAAACCAATGGACATGTGTCAACTTTTGGCAGGGGTGGTGAGGATACACCTAAGGTTAAAGTGGTGAGCAAAAATGCACCCCTAAAAGAATCCTTAGTATCTTCGTTTATGGTCTTGGGCTTAGCATTGTCTGCCATTGTTAATTCTGATTCAGATTCCTCTATCTCTTTATTTAATGCCTGGTCTACCTTTAAGTTAACAAACCAAATCTACCATTACTTCTTTTGCACTATACCTAGAGGCTAGGGCAGCTAATGCAATTAACGAAGTTTTTCTCCTAATTGGGAACCAAAGTCCATCTTTCTTTGGAAATTTATTGGAGTGGCCGTTACTCCAAAGTTTTTGGTGGGTAAGCTGAAAAAAGCCTAAATTTTTTGTTTCTCTCCAGCTTCTATATTCCTCCTGGGATTAACTTTTCAAAATATAGCCCAAACAGATGAGAAAAGAGAATTCAAGATTCATGGTTATGGATCACCAAAACAAGTTAAAAGTTAAAGAATGGGCAAAATCATTAAACCAAGTTGACTCTGTTAATTACTACTTGTCATGGGCATTTCTCGAATTAGGGAATCATTAAATGTCATCTGGGAAGCAGTAGTTGACTCACGTGCCGTCCGGGTAAAGCTGCCCCTCAACTCAACATGGATCTAGGTTTAACTTTCTGTATGTATGTCCATTAACAAACACCGATCCAGAAATCTTCACACTTCACAGACCAACCATGCACACACAATCCTCCTTCCTAATGTTCATAATTTAATGAATATTGTTTGCCTTCTTCAGTTGCAAAAAGAATTCAACAAAAATACAAAAAGAAAAATTTATACACACATGATATACTGTCATTAACAGAAATGTACTTACAGGAAATGAGGGAAGTATTTTCCTAATTTAATTTGCCCTATATGTGTGATGCCTACTAAATTTTTCTGAAATGTACACGTGTTCAGCACGTGATGACATTTATTTATCTAATGTTTCTTTCTTTAATTCAGTTTTCGACATTTAGGTAGATACTAGAGAGCCTCATCTAATAAAAGAAAGATTGTCTGAATATATGCTTGATTTGATTCTCCTATAAAATTCTGGTAAGCTTCAGTTTCTCTAATGAACTTTGTACTCACTTTGGTTGACATTTTGTAACAATGGTCACTAGACAACTAGATTCAAAATATAACCTCATAGAGCATTTCAATTAGAATTGTATCGAAAGGTTTAGCTTAGCTCAGCTGAGGTCAGCCTGAGCTCATAGAAACTGAGTTAAAAAAATTGAAGCTTTCAACACCAGAGATCATTAAAAAAAAACGCACCTAGCACTGTAAGGTCAGCCCACCAAAAAAATAAAATAAAACAACAGGGTGGGCTCAAGTCACCATAGCCCAACCTGTTCTACATCCACAATATCTACTATTTTAAGACAGCTATAGAATTTACCTAATTTCTGATGCCAACTCCCAGCGTCTTTGCATCCTCCTACTTATGCAGTTATGCTTCCCATGATGAAAATGATGTGATGGGTACTGTCCACGAACCTAATTTGGATTATGTGAGGCTTAATCTTGGGTTGTTGAGCACTCTGAATCCATATGCATTGATGTTGTGCAATTATCCTGAATATTGAAAATTTTACGTTAGGGAAGCTGAGCAAGTCAATCAAACTAGTTTGAGCTGTTTGCTAATGCATCAAAATAATTAATTCTAAATTTTACTAAATCATCACGTGTATCGTTGAGAAAAAAGATTTCAGCCTGACTTCATTAAAGCAGCTAATGCGACACAAGGTGACAATACCTCATACCTTTCTATCATTTACTGAGGCACTTGGAAGAGTAGCTCCTGATTGAGGTTTTGAGGAAGCTGACTGTGGGGAAGAACAGTTAAACTGCCAGTACATTGTTGAATAAGGAAAAGAACACTTGCATTAGTATATAGAATAACCAAGTAGAGTGTTTCTCAATTTACAACCTGTAAAATTCACTTGCCTCTGACACACAGGAGTCAAAGTTATTGTTCTCTTGTAAGTCATTGCCAGCTGACTTGTACTTTTGAGAAATAGGTGAACAAGAAAAACTTGTATTTCCTCCAACGCCTGTCCCATAAGCCTTTTCTTGAGACATTTCTGCATTGTTGTTGACATCTTCAATTCTGAAAGGACAATAACAATGTTCCTTAAAATATAACAGCGAGACCTAGCAAAAGCAAAACGACTACCTATGTTGCATTATGGTATTTGTTTATTATCTCCAATAAGAACATATTTCTCCAATCACAGAACAGTTTATACAATTTCCTGTTTCCTAAAGAAAGCAATATTGCATTCCAATATATTGATTTGTATAGGACAACTGGACAATACCTTTGATTTACAATTACCTAATTAACGCAGTTGACTATATAGATCTTAAATGGGGAGAAGAAGACGTCTTTCTACTGTTATCACATTACAGCTCGTATTGAAACAGGTTGGTAAGTTTAAATCTGGAAACTGCTAAACAACTCATGAATGGATGATAACAATATTAGTTCTACCTATTATCTTCCTTCGTCAAAATCATATTGCATCCTCCTTGGCGTTCCAGCATTGAGGAAATTACCCCTTTATCCTGGCATATAAATTACAGACATTTCCCACAAAGGAAGCAATGAGTTTCTTCGGTAGAGATCCATCGAGAAAATACTGAGGGAAGGTTCTAGATTCATTACAACAGAGAAAAACAAAAAACTTAAGAAGTCGCACCAAATATCACATATGTGGGATTCAATAGAATTGCTTCAGGACAATTATTCTCAAGAAAACAACTTTGTATATAAATTAGTCAGGTGACAGAATGGCAGGTTATACCTAATCTCTAGACAAGGCAATGGTAGATGTCTTAAGTCCATATATAGGTACCATCAATACAGTATCTGTCTATAATTAAACTTGATTATGGTCCCGGGTGGAAAGTTTTGAAGCAGAAACTCATATGTTTAAATCAAACTCAAACGTTCTCTACCTCTTCATTCATACTTCTAACAGTGTCTTGAATCTTCCTTAAGATGATCCCCAAACTCCCAACTTCAAAATGCAATGCCTGATCATGGAATATTTCAAGTAGAGTTTAGAATTCAACAGTAGAAGTCATTAAGATCTAAGCTGAAAATAAATAATGAAAAAATCTGAAATTTAAACCTGTTTTTCTGACATCAAATTCTGTATGACAACATCCCTTGATGATATAATTTTCTGAAGGTAAGGGTAAATTAAGACAAGGCGTTGATGATAAATATTAAGCTAAAAGAGTAGGTTATAGTTTAGGAATCAATCAAACAAACAAATCTTAAATGCTGGTGTGGATATCTCTTCTATTTGTGTCTGGCTGTTATTGCAAATTTTTGCTGCCTCCATCTGTGCTTCTAGTTCTGAGATGACTCTATCCTTTCCCCGAGTCTCACCTTCATAATTATTCAGTTTGCTTTCGAGGTCACAGATCCTTTCTGCATAACATAGTTCATGTCCAATAAATTATTGATGGTATCAAGTATTACATACAACTTCTGTTTGAACAATAGAATAACTTAATTTGCAACATCCATAGTTGATATACAATGGTACAGACTGGTTGAATTCTGGCATAACAGTTACACCAAAAAATTTATTATTATTATTTGGACAGCCCCCAGTTAAGTTAATTGCTTGGACATGACCCACAAGTTTCACTACCTAGCCCAAATAATCAACAAGGTTTGTACTTAGATAACTATAAGTTAGATGCAGGTGAATAAGAACTTGGAGTTACCTATAAATACTTTCTCAAATGTGGAAACAGTATCCAATTTGCTCTTTAAGCCAGCTACTGTTAACAAAACAGCAAGTTAGAAGGAATCTGAAACTGCAGCTTCAAATTCAATAGAAGCGTACATTAAGAATTCAAAGAGCTGCTTGCCTACTTCCTCTTTTTCACTCACGATACGTTGCACGTTATCCACAACTTTCTTTACAGACATTGCCTCCTTTTCTATTGAATCAAATAGCAATAGATGATATTTAATCTTCTCAGATAGGACAGAAAGCTTTCTATCTCTGCACTGAATTGAGCGTTTCATTTCACAAGTGGATTCCTGTACACGAATATGATGCCAGTGAGTAATTTGTCGGTTAAATATGTAGGATTAAAAATTCACCATGGAATTAAAAAGCATTAACAATATTGCATGGTAATCTCTCTCCACACAACATAAATATACACACAGACAGGCTCTACTAATTGGCACACAAACACTAACCTCATAAGCATTAACGAATGTGTCCCTTGACTGGAGTAGGCTTTGTATCGTTCCTTTCAACTCTTTTTGCTTGTTCTCGAGCATAGAATTGTCATTCTGAAGGTACCTTACCTGAAAGAACAAGCATTCACAAAAACAATTGGAGAAAAGGATTAAAAAAAGAGGGGGGAACAGCTCAATTAAAATCACATTGACTATGATCTCTAATAAGCATTTCGACAAACACTTCAGCAGCAAACAGTTTTACGTGATTTGACGAACCTCTCTTTCGAGTTTTTGGCGCAGCTCATTCGAAGAAGCTAATTCAGCCTGCGATTCCTGTAATTTCCTCCCATATTCTTCCTCGGTTTGCTTTTGTTTCTGTTTTCAAACACTTCATTAATACGAAGAAGTAAAATGCTATTTGAAAGAAAAAGTTTAAGTTGATTTTCAAATTTAACCTGAATAAGAAGACGAAGTTGCTCGGTGGCAGAGCGGTCCTTTTCCTGGAAATGTGTATTCACCAAAAAACCGATCAGAGAGAGATAGAGAGAGAGTGGTGTTGAAGACGATGATAATTCTTACTCTGAGTTCTCGGACTTCGGTGATGAGCGTTCGAAGCTGGAGCTTGAATTTGGAGAATTTAAGCAACTCCATTTTCTCTCCAAAATGTTCCATATCTACCTGTGTAAATTGTAATTGATTGTGCACTGCATGCCACTTTTTAGTTTTGAGGGATTTACTTTTCGGTCTCTGCCTTTGCCCGATTGAAATTTTCATCCAATGCCCCCGCTAATTCGCATTACACTTTCCCGCCACTGAAATATGGAGTTATGCTAATTTTTTATTTTACACAATTGATATTCCGGGGAAATTTAAATAAAGGAGCCCGGATTTGGTAATAACTACTTTTAATTATTTAATTATTTGAGATATAAGCTCTTTCGAGATCGTTACAATATTTTTGATACCTCTGTTTGTTTTTGGTTGGAATTTTGTTTTTTCTTCTTTAAAAAACCTTTTTTTGTTGTTGAAAGATTTATTAAACCATTATATCATTTACAAAATAATAATTTTGGGGCCCTTTTTAATTATGCAAGAGTCATGCTCACGCGTGACATTTCATGTTTGAAGCTCCTTATGTGGCCTACCAACTGGTAACATACAGATAACCAGTTGTTGATTTTACTTGATACTTCAATATCGGGTAGCCTTCAATAACATCAATAATTATGACATTTTCGCTTTTGAGATGCTTGGCTCATTGGCTACGTACTGAAATTTTATGATATCATAAAATTATTAGGTCTCTTGTTTTTTTTTTTATCTTTTTATCTTTTTAATGCTGGGTTAGGAATTCGAACTTAAGATATTAGGAAAAAATATGTATCACCACTAAACCAACTAGGGTTGGTTTTCGATGGCATGTTAAGCCAATTTCTCTTACCGCTGACCGATGGATTGACTATCGTTTTGCAGTGTGCAGGCAGCTAAGCTAACTCCATACAGAACGTACTGGACACTGACAGTTGTGTTGAAAATATGGGTGCCCAAATGGGTCACAAAGATGATGAAACCATCGCGAGAAGAATTCAAAAGCTTATCACATATGTTCCCCACCTCCTTGTCCAGTTAGGCTGTCTGGCATTGCTCTTTCTCTTTGCTTTTATCTTCCAAATAAGCAGGATTTACAGCTTTTCATTCAAAAATAGTTATAATAATTGATGAGAATCTAGATGCATGTTTTTTTTGGTTAGACCCAAGGGTGTCCACCGCCGACAGCAGTGACTAATCCCTTTCGCTGCGGGAGCTCTCCCAAAGGAGGTAAAACAGCTGGCCACGAAATGTGCTCCATTCCCATGGGCGGGGATCGAACTCCCAACCTCATGGTTAAGGGATGAGGTGAGCTACCACCACACCACATCTCATTGGGCAATGTGTTCCGGGAAGCCAGGTGTACCTGGGCCACCCAACTTTCATTGGGCTTCATTTATATGGTATCAAGACCCCATTTTCTTTTTATCCGGTAAAAGTCCAACATATTAATGTTGTGCAGCTAAGCACACGCTGTTTACCAGTTTGCAATTCTGCATATGTATGGACATTCCCTTTTCTTTTCATTTTTTGAGATATTTAGTGATATATTCATTTTTAACACTAATATTATAAATAAATCATATACCGTTGAATTTTTATAAACAAATCAAAAAAATAACAGCTGGTCTTATTGAATTTAATATTAATTATTAAATTACTTAGATGCCCTATTGAGTGTTTTGTGTATTTTTATGAGATTTTGGAGTTATGTTTGTTTTAAGAAATTGATGACAGTTTTGTAATTTATAAGAAGTTAAAAGTCTCTTTTTTATATTGTAAATGAGTTTTTGGTGTATTTTAAAAGTCCATTTAATGTAGAGTATTTTTATAATTTGGGCCCCTATATTGGGTATAATAGTGAATCTCCCCTTTTTTCCCCCTCTTCCATGGATTAGAGGAGATGATATTTGAATAAAAAATCTCGAATGAAGAGATAAATGCCTTTAATCAATTGAGTTATAAACCTCTTGTAATATCGAAGTTTGTAATTTATGATCACTCAAAATAAAAGACTTGAGAATATTGTTTTATGGTAAGTAAAATAAGGATATATATGGCACAACTACTTAACTCAGCATTGAATCAACTAAACCACTTATCAACCACTATTAAAGTATTAAGTAGGGACCGACCCATCTCATCTAGCATATCACATTACATTGAAAAGACAATATTTATGTATAATCCATAAACTACTCTGACATCTACAGTGATCAAACACAATCATTGAGGCTGGCTCTGCTCACAGTGATCTAAATATTTTGCATGCATATGCGGGATTCATAGTAATTTTATGATGTATGGACAATTGCCTGTGCGTGAATGACCGTTTTCTCACATATATGGATTATTTTATGATGTTTTCTCACAAAGACTCTCAACTATCCAAGTCCATATATGTTCATAAATGTCTTTAATCAATTGAGTTATAAACCTATTGTAATATCGACGTTTGTAATTTATGATACCACAATGCAATTTGTCATATTCACGTGCCTTAAACGACAACAATAAAGCATGCGCATAATTTTAACATAAGTGATATTGAGAAAGATGATTTGAACACATTAAGATTACTACTCTTAACTACTTATAAGCCTTTTACAATCAAATATATATATCATCATCATCTTATACGATATCAAGCTTTTCCCTTGCTTTGCTGGTATCCATATCTATCGGATATCAATCCCAAAGACGACAAAGCAGAGACCAGTATCACAATCAGCACACGTGACAAAATAGATGAACTGCACGTGTTGAATTTGTGCAAGTGTTTATCTAGAGAAAGAGCAACATATCCTTTCCGGCGACTCGTATGCCTGTCCACAATTGATATTAGAAAGGGGCAATGGTTTGGCATATTCGTCATATCCATCCATCACTCTTTATTTTTGACAAATGAGAATTGCATATACCAAACTAGGTCACCGTCAGGCCAATGCCAGAGCCTTTGCATTTTAATTTTTGCAGTACTGAACCATATATGCTAGCTGTTAAAGATGAGTGAATTAATAATAACACGTAGCATTCAGTTACACCGAAGAATTTCTCAAATTTAGTCATTGGAAGGAAAGTACTGCTGACAAGTGGTCCTGCGCACTTGTGCAACAGACAAGGAACTTACCAAGCTGTAGAGAAATGCGCATGAAATGAGAATCTTATTTTACCCAAAAGGCAGTGCCCAATATTTCATGCATGCATCCTTATTTGCACGTGGAGTTTACCGAAATGGAGTTTGGTGCTGTGACGGATTCTTTTTCCTATAAGCTTTCGAAGGGTAATGATTCTTTGTGAAAGTTGCTTCGGAATAGAAGTTCAAATGCAATGAGATGAACAGAACAGCAATGAATGAAAAATATTGAGGCTTCCTAATTTCCTCCAACTTAAGTAACTACAATTTAATGTGATTAGTTGGTTTGGGATTGGGACATCTGAATTCAGAAAAATAAAAGAGCAACATTTCCCTTTTGGGTAACAACGATCATGATAGGTAGGGGTGGGCCAAGCTTCCAAAAATGGTCCCATCCATGCCCTAACACACATCAAATCTAAAACCATGCTTAGTCAAATCTTAAATATTCATTAGACCCATAACACACATCATAATCATAACAATGATTAAATTATTGCGAACCCACTAACTTACCTTTTAGGAAATCATAAGCTACCTTAATCAAACCTACACAAAAGCCCAATTTAATCTAACTCAGATAACCAAAATATCGTGACCCGAGATTCGGGTCACGAGAAGAGAGTACTCTGAATTTGTACTTTGAGAAAACGTGAGCTCGACCCATCTTCTTTCATAACAGAAAAAAAAAAAAAAAAAAGTATCGTCCCCCACCGTCAATGCGGTTGACTGGACTTGTATTTAGATCCGACGGCGTAGAAGCGAGGCAGAGGTTTTACATAAAGAGTGGAAGAAGAGTGAGATAGAAGGCAGGGAGAGGGCATGAAAAGAAAGGGACAGTGAAACGCTGGAGGCTCCGAGAAAAGCTCTCACTGGAAGTGACTTGGTTTCGCAACTCCCGAGGTCGAAGTCTATGAAAATAGTGTGTGTTGTGAAAATTGAAGGAAAGAGAAAGAAAGAGAAAACTAAAGGGAAAACTCATCAGTACGCGGTAGGCACAGTGCGCACCAACCTCCACTGTCCAAGGAGATCACGCAGAGCTTCTCTCTCTTCCTAGTCCCTCTCTCTCTCTACCTCTCGCTATCCATTTCTAGCTTAACTGCTCTCACTTTCTCTCATCTTCTTTTCCGAAGCTACTACTTATTAAAAAACGCTCTCTCTCCCCTTCGCGGCTAAGATTTAACTTAATATTTGAATCCGGCGAATGCAAACATTTATTCGAACTCCAATTCAAATCTAAGCCTGAACTTGAATCGGATCGGAGTGTGAAAATGGATCCGCCTACGCTTGTCAACGAGTGCTCCTTCTCGAATGCCAATGCGACGTCGTTTAATCTCTCGGAGATCTGGCAATTCCCGATGAGCGGCGGCGGCGCGAGCGGTGGGGATTCTGGAGGAGGAGGTGCGCTGGGGCTGCGGAGGCCGAACTTCGCTCAGAGTTTCGCGCAGTTTGGGGACGTTTCGGGTGCGATTCGGGACGTCTTGGCCTGTAGTGATCCGAATCCGATGAGCTTGGACGTCAGAGGCAGCCACGGTGGCGGTGCCGCGAGGAAAAGGCTCGATGCAGAGGACGAGTCCCCAAAAAGCAGTGGCCATATTGGCGGGGTACGTCCTTCATTCAATATGATTCAATTGCTTAAACTCTGTTTAGCTTGCTGCTAATTATGATTTGGTTACTATTATTTGTGTTCGTTGATTTGTATTAACTTGAAGTATAAATGTGCTATTTACTGTTTGCTACGTAAACTTCTTGAAAATTTCTAAATCTATATATTTGTGATTGGAGCAAGGCTGTTTCTTTAATTGAACTATTTCTTAATTATATATGTATATGTTTTGTTCCCTTTTTTTTTTTTCTGGCAGAGTGATTGCGATGGGAAAAGGCTTAAAACAGCAAGAAGTAGAGATGAGACCAGTGAGTCGAAAGCCGAAGCAGAAACCAGTTCAGGGAAGCCGGTGGAACA